CAAAAGTAAATATACTTTCTGCTTATATGAATTCGGTTCTGTTCATTTTTAAAGATAATTAAGACAAGTACCCGGTCAATGATTGGGTAAACTTTTTTGGCGGCTGACAAGGCGCGGGCAATTGCCTCGATTTCTGGAAGAGCTTTTCCCATTGAAATGCTTGAAATGATTATGCTGACAACCACCTAAAGTAGATAGGAGGAAAGCAAAACTGTTTAAGTATAGCTTCTGTGGCTAAAACTTCTGACCTAACACAGAATCAAACAAATAACCTTACCAAGATGACTGTTCCACTGCTGAAACGCTCAGTTCGAACAAGTGTGATACCGTACCAGAGGACCAACGCAGCCGCAGAAAAAATTGAAAAGCTTACGAAGCCATTTGCTAAAATGAACAGGTAAGATATAGTAAAATTCAATGCTGTACAAATCTGTTAAGACAGGAGTCTTTAAATGTGATTTTAACTGTCATGACCAGCTTTGTTGCATAAGAAATACCTCCACAAATATCACTTTGCTTAGTTCATAAATGGCAAATGGTGATAATATTCGTATAGATTAAATCTCACCTGCGCCGAGAGCCATAGACTTTTTTATGCCAGTGCGTTCGGCCTTGTACAATTGCTCTGTGTACCGTTTGCAGGAGTATTCCTCTGCTCCGTATGCAAAAACGGTACGGATAGAGCTCAAAATTTCGCCAGATATGCCACCTGCTCTACTGTAGGCCCGAATTTCTCGCTTGTTGAAATAGTTCAGAGATAGTCCAAGGACGGCGAAGGAAATAATGATGAGCGGTATCATCGACGATGCAACGAGAGCTAACTTCCATCCCTTGATGTATGCCATGATAAGACAGCCGACAAAAAGAACGAAATCTCTCATGAAGCTGCCAATTCGGTTGCCAAGTCCGGCCTGGATCTGAGGAACACTGGTTGAAATTAGACTGATGAGGGCGCCCGATGCTTGCGAGTCATACCAACTTGCGTCTTGGCGCAGCATACTCTGTAAATTAGTATTTAGATCAAGGGATGAAAGAATTAATCTGGAAAGCCTCATCATACAACAAAAAATATTGAAGCAGCTGGCAAACTGACAATACTTGATGAAAAACCTATACGGCAATCGGGGTTTACAAAAGGTTTGATGGCAGTTATCATTTTTCAGGCAACGATATTGTTACTGCTTCCGAAGATGGAATAGAACAATAAAGTTTCATGTCTGCTTGTTTATTTTCCAGCAAAATGATGGTAAACTAACACAACAGAACTGCACGAAGTAACTCAGTACTTGTGCGCATAGTGACCATAACAACCTAATGGTAATCTGCTGAGTAGATCCCCTCGACTACTCGTTACTGGAGAGCGCTTACATAAAATCAATCGAGTTAATCGTATCACTCACAAAAGCAAAGTAGTCCTTCATATATAAATGTAACATGAAATAATACGCATGATGCAAAAGTGCGAAATTTAACGACAAAAAGCACATGCAATAATTAAGATGAAAAGTTTTCAAAGATGGGTGTGCAACATGAAATACCTGGAAGAATAAAAGCCGGATCCGTTGTCCTTGTCTTCTTGAAGACAAGTTTAGACAAAACATTTGAATAAATCCAAGAACCAATGAAGCTACGGCCAACTCAACAAAGAGTGGTATTTGGCCCTCAATCAAGTTCGCTGCATTGAAAAATAGATGACGAATCAGGTCGTCCACCATGTCTGCAAACAATGCCATACTCAGGGGAAAAAGCGCACCCAATCCCGCGCTAGCAATTATCCCGATAATAAATAAGAGGATTTCCATTCTTGTAGCAAATCTCAACTGTTTACTGGTAAAGAAAGAAGCACAATGTTTACCAGTCCAATGTATGTCATCTTTTTCAGCACTTCATCCTCGGACGAACTAAGGATTAATTTAACATTACATGCGACTTACTCATTATCACTGGAATCAAAGAGACCTTGACTGTTATCAAAAGATTCAATTTCCACGTCATCGTTAACTTTTCGTTTAACATTTCTCTCACCGTGGGATTTCATTTTACGTCGGGGAAAATAACTTGTAAAAGTGCTTTTTATAGGTCGAGACCTATCTAATTACTTTAATCTAGTAAAAGAATTGGTGTCGGCTGTTCAAGCTATTCATATTTAATGAAATTAGGAATTTTCATTTGGCAAAATCCTTAAATACGTACTCAACAGCGGTGATTTTGTCTGGCACTATGGCAGCAATAAAGCAAACTCAACACGGCATTCCGAAAGAAGGAATTGAATGTTGAATGGAACGCCTTGATTCAAGAAGAATGGGGATACCGTGCGAAAGAATTGTCAGCGTTTATAAGGTATAAAACAATTTTTATGCGCAATTTACCTAAAAGAATCATGGTTAAATGAGACAAACAATCGGATGGCTTTCCTGTTCCAGGCTATCCCCTCCTGCTCTAGCTGTAAAATCTAGTAGACCTAGCGATACCCCTGCTAGATCCAAGTCAGCTACATATCAAGTTTACAAAATCAGTAATGTCATTTTAGGTGTATAACTTGCCAACGCCTTAGCATCTATAACAAATGCAAATAACCACGTTAGCATTTTTCCAAACCGAAAATCTGAACAAAATCCCCAAATGGTTGAGCCTACTAATTAAGAAAATTTAAGTCACTTTATTAAGGAAAGCAGCCCTTTGCTCTTGAGCTTTCTATTCCTATCCTGTTATCACCAAAAACCCTAATTTTAAGAACAGTGCATAAGACACAGTAAAGTTAACAGCAGCAATATTTGTGAGCCAGTTGCAAACTACCACAATTTGGGAACGACCAACGAGGAAATTTCCAATACAAGCGAACATGCGAGTTCCAGGAAATAATTGAGAAGAAGACGACTCGATCACGAGTCGTCCTCATCTAAACGAGGAAATTCTCAATCCACGTAATAAGTTTGCCTCCGATGCCCATCAGTCTCAACTTACGCAGGGTGTGTGGCGATGGAGTCCATCGCGCTTCGCGATAGAACATCCTCAATCACGTTTTCCTTACCGTGGGCTTGTTTGATCTCACAGGAGAACTGAGAGCTTAGATTTAGTGAACGCATCTAGCGAGTCTAGAGATCCATGCGTGC